TATTCTACCTATAGTTTTACATTATAATCACTGTAATTTTGATCATAGTCTTTTTTTTTTTTAAGCATCACATTCCACATTTCTCTGTATCATTAAATATCTGTTTACCTTTCCTGTAAAAGAACTCAATCCTTCATTAGCCTACTTTTAATGCATCTATAGAATTTGATGTAAATGCTACTTAAGGTGGAAGTGATTTTTACTAAAAGACTAAAATGCAAATGCTTATTCTTATTGGTGTGTTCATTTCCACTGTGAGTATTTTTGTGTTTGCTGTTGTATCATGATGACACTCAGAAATTACCTTAACAGACTTCCTTGTTTTTTCTTCCTGAGAATAGTCTGCTAGCGTATCTTTAACATAGTTTCACTTTTTAAGCCATCTATCCTAAATTTTCTTCCCTACAATTCTCAGGAAAAAAGCAGTTTAAAAAAAAAAAAACAACTAAGTTCATGTTTCATATTCACGCCTTTTCCTTAGAACCCCACTCATATTATTTGATGATGCCTTTCACTCAAATTCTCTCTCACATTCAGAATCTTAAATTCTTTTAGAAGTTAATTAAATGTAACATAATCACTATCAATTTTAATATAAATGACCCATACTCCCTTTTGGACCATGTTCCAAGACCTGAGCGGTGCATGCAACTTCCTGTATTGTTTTTGCAACACACAACTCAGGACAAGGGGTAACAGATTCAAACTGCAAGAGGGGAAATTTAGACTAGGTATTAGGAAGAAATTCTTTCCTGTGAGGGCGGTGAGGCACTGGAACAGGTTGCCCAGAGAAGCTGTGGCTGCCTCCTCCCTGGCAGTGTTCAAGGCCAGGCTGGATGGGGCTTGGAGCAACTTGGTCTGGTGGAAGGTGTCCCTGCCCATGGCAGGGGGGTTGGAACGAGGTGATCTTTAAGGTCCCTTCCAACCCAAACCACTCTATGATCATAATTTGGTCCCATTCTCAGGGATTTCACTCCCTCTGGATCTGTCATATTATGAGATCCTTACCATGGCATTGCCATTGCCTCCTTATCACTCTCTCTCCCACTCCCATGTGAAAATTTTCTCCAAGATATATGTTTGGCAGGCCCCACACCCCTAGAGCTTCTAAGTAACATTTTTAGGTCTAATATTCTTTAGCTGCCTGCCTCTCCTACACCAAGTACTCCAGCTTGGCAAACTAACTGTCTAAGACCACCAGCAACCACACATCAGTAACTTCATAATTTTGTTTGTTTTCTAAAGCAATTTTGAATTCCTTCCTTATCGCACAGATAAATGGTAAAGACATCCAGCAGGTGTCTTTTTTTTGTCCAGTTTTTGATCAGGTTTCCACTCTTAATTTTCCCTATACCACCTACCATTACTTTAATTTACCAGTGTTATCAGTTGCACACCCTTTCTGAAATCATTTGTGTTTGCCATCAACTTAAAAAATAAGCTTTACTTATCCTAGATTTCTACCCTTCTAGAGTAGCCAGTTCTTTGAAAAAATGCAGTTTCTATAAACAAAATTAAAGTACAACTTCTACATTGGTAATCATGCAAAAATCATTTCAGTTAATTTTTCAAATATTCCCTTGATGTACTTCTACATGCAAGCATTATTTTATTGTAAAGGTTTGAAAGCTTTATTTTTATAGTATCCAACAAAAACATGAATATTAATCAAAATATAGGATAATTATATCAGGATATTTACTCCTCTTACTTACCAGATGTATCCTGCCATGATGAGATCAAAGCTAAAAAAAGTTTTGTGTTTTCTAGCTCCTCATGGCTTCCAGTGGTTCTGAAAGACTATGCAAAAGAAATAAAGCATAAATATACAGATACATGCATATATTTACTTTAAAGTAAATACTTTAGAGCAAAATACATTGTCTGTTTATCAGGTCTAATGAACTTCAGACCCTATTAAAAATTCCTTGTTCAGTGGCAACATTTATCTACCGTTTTATTTTCTTCTCGAGGCTATCTGAACATCTCCTAAAGTTACATCAAAGGCATGGTGGAACTTTAAAGCCTCTGTTATATATTCTCTCTTACATGGAGACACATTTCACAAGACAAATAAATTCTGTAATGTATATATGCCTCTGAATCCAAATCCACTGAAATTATGAGATGCAGCAACACCAACTGCCATCATGTCCTTTTAGCAACTGACATTTGTATTCACGTAAATTGTACAACACTTAACCTCAGAGGAAATACTAACTCTCATGTTTCAAGGCTTAAAGTGACGTTTAACTGCTAGAGACCAGTATAGGAATAATGTGAAGGAATTTGTGCTGTAACATTCTTATGCCTTCAGGGGGCAGATCTCATTTCTTCAGTAATAGTACTGAAATAGGTGTGCCTAAGAATGGCCACAGTAGAGCAGAATAAACACTTCTAGGTCTGGGTTCACAGACATTACCTCTTGTCACGCTTTATCATACCTGCAAGTAGCCAGCCCAAGCATAATACTATGCTAGTAAACCACACCTAGATAGCTATATATATGGCTGTTGGTCATATAAACATTTAAGGACACAGCCTTCTTTCAAAGCCTGCCTAGCCAATATCTGTTAAAACCTATTCCAAGTTACTTTTTAAAATCAACTTCTTCACTATAATCAGCCAACTGTGAGGTATTTAACAAAACAATGTGTCTGTGAAATATGATAATTCTGTAAGACAGTAGTCTAACATACACTATTTACAAAATAAGCAGAACACTCTAACCTGAAGTTCTTCCCAGAGCTTTGCCCTCATTTCTTTGCCTTGTTTTTTAATTGCTCTCTCCTTAAAACATTTTTTTGCTAATATTGTGTCAAGTTTATTCATCTTCTTTATAGCTGCTTGAATCTGAGGATCTACATCTGTTACTTCAGAATTTTCCAAGTTGGAAGAGTTTGCTGTAGAATATTTTTAAAAATTAATGTTAGCTTGAAACATTTCAATTTAAAAACAAACAAAACAAAACCAAACAAACCACACTAAAAAGCAGTACAAGTAACTTGATAACAACCATAGAAAAGAGCACAATTATTCTCAAGCATATATATCACATTCATTTCTAAACCTGTTTGTAGCAGAGAAAAATATCAAACGCTGAATCAAACTCTGAGCCGTAGTAGTCGGATATGGGGGGATGGGGGAGGAAGAGCCCCCCCATTTGGGGCAAGCAATTCAATTCAAATTTATAATGGAAGAGTGACAACATCTCCACAGTATCAGCAAAACCCACAGACAAAATAAGCTTAAGAATAAAAAAATATTTTCTTCAGCCTGACTAGTAGAATATACGTTTAAATGTCATTCAATAAAATGAGTAATTCTAGGGTTAAGAGAGACTCTGTAATATCTCTACTTTTAAATGTTACAGAAGTTTCAGTCTTGACATATCTCAGCCAAACCAGATTCTGATAATAGCTCTAGAAAAATGTTGTTTTGAAAAACAGAAATAGTGAAACACCGTAGAAACTACCATTATTTAATTAAAATAGATTTCTGCATTGTCCCTTTTTTTCCTAAACACGGAGATCACAATTTCTGATCACTTTTAGCTTTTTCCCTTCCTACAGCATCCTCACGCTCTGCCCTCTTTTCTGGTCAAACTTAGCTTCCATAGCAAGAGTTGAGGAAACACTTGTAGCACTGTCCCTATCCCACAGACTTCCAAGTTTTGAAGTTCTGCAATACTTTTTCATTTTCTAATCTTTTGAGGACAAATGCTTTACACAGCCATTGATCTCAAGCATTTACTGTGATGCATTGGTCTACGTTATGCCATAAAAGGAAGCGAGTGATACAACAAGGGGAGAGCTACAAAAACCTAAGTGAGCTCCAGGGAAGCCCCAAGGACAGAAGATAGAAAAAGAGCACTTATTTCAACTGGCCTGAACCCAGCAGATGGATTTGAACCTAAAACTACTGATTGAAGCTTTGAAGTTGAGTTCTATCCAATGTCTGTTCTGAAGAAATGAATACTATTTTAGATGACCAGCACTGCTGCACTAGATAAACACCGGATTCTGCCTTAGGAGATTGACTGAATCTATGTAAAACTCAAATACTGTCATGTCATTGAAGAAAGTGAATATCCTTTAATAAAATAATCTTTAAATAAAGAACTCACTCAACACCTCTACATTGCGTACATATTTTCAATTTGTAATATTTTTTGTAACTATATAATATACACACAAATATACTATGATCCCAAACTCTCCCACAAGCATTAAGAAGAAAAGCGGAAAAAAACCCAAGACTTATTGCACTGTTCACTTTATACACCTGAAAAGTAATACCTGCTTTTGCATTACTTTGTTTTCCTTGGGAAGGTCCACAGAATTTCAAAGTCTGTGTTTCAATGCTATCATATCCAGAATCTGAATTAGAGATACATCCTGAAAAACACAGGAAAAAGCCTTTCACAGTAAAACAGATGTGAAACAAACTTTTAAAGACACTGTTTGAAATGTTAACAATTAAGAGACCAAAATACATTTTTGTCAGTTAGGGACCATCATAGAGCCTCTGCAGCGGATTACTGTTTAAAAAATTATACATACTAGTACACCAGGACTCATTATAAACACAGGAGCAGTAGTCAAGGGATTTCTTTTGATTTTCTTTCTGTCATGAAATCTTATCTAAATTTGAAGAAGGTATCCAAACTCTGCTTCACATAACGTCCTTTGCTTCTCTATTTTTAAATAGTCAGAAACACCAGAAAGTTAATTTATTACCATTTATATGATGCCAAAAGAATGTCATCTGAAGCACTTTTACAAGTGCTTTCATTCAAATGAGATATTGTATATTTATATTTAAAGTATGTTATTAGTATTAGCATTGTTCAATTGTTAAATACTACCAACTACAACCATGATTTCCGATTTTGTGGAAATTGGTGGACCATTATTAGGATACAAAGTTTCTAATAATGATCTTGATCTCTGTGAAAAGTTTCATAAAAACACCTTACTGAAAACACTTCCTAACATGGTTCTGTGGAACACATGCAGATGGTTTCTCTTGACCTTTTCATCACCGGGGTGCAGGTCACAGCTTAGATGCCACAAGACATATGCTGCAGTGGTAACGGCAGTAATAACACATTCCTTTCAAAGATGGATTCGGTTTTGGGCCCCTCACTACAAGAAAGACATTGAGGTGCTGGAGCATGCCCAAAGAAGAGCAGCAAAGCTGGTGAAGGGCCTGGAGAACAGGTCTTATGAAGAGCGGCTGAAGGAACTGGGGTTGTTTAGCCTGGAGGAGGCTGAGGGGAGACCTTATCGCCCTCTACAACCAGCTGAAAGGAGGTTGCAGTGAGGTGGGTGTCAGTCTCTTCTCCCAAGTAACTAGTGATAGGGCAAGAGGAAACGGCCTCAAGTTGCACCAGGGGAGGTTTAGATTGGACATTAGGAAAAAATTCTTTACTGAAAGAGTGGTCAAGCATCAGAATAGGCTTCCCAGGGAGGTGGTGGAGTCACCATCCCTGGAGGTGTTCAAAAAACATGTACACGTGGCACTTTGGGACATGGTTTAGTGGGCACAGTGGTGTTGGGTTGACAGTTGGACTTTATGAATTTAGAAGTCTCTTCCAACCTAATGATTCTACGATTTTATGAAAACAGTGAAGCGAAGGTATGAATTTTGACACCTCCTTCTCTCCTACAATTCTACCTATTTGCATCCTCTTTTCTCCCTCCACCAACAGAAATTTACCCAAACTGTACAAACACAACATTTGGTCTAGCCACAGCACAAGAAGTTGTCAGTCATTCCCACACCTGACAACTCGTTGGGATTCAGCATACACTTCTGAAGTAAGAAGGCCGTACTCTCCACTGTGGTTTGCTGATCTGTTCTTACTTCCTTGACATCAGATTTCTCTCTGCCATCACCTTTATTTTCTTCTGGACAGCAGTCTTCTAGACTGCCTCTTTGGTGACTACCAGCCAAACTGGCAGGTGAATCAACCTATGAAATGCAAATTAACTGCTACCATAAAACCAGAAATCTTTGGGGGGAAAAAAAAGATAATGACAATAAACACGTACTATCTCAAAGGCTAACAACAATTCTATACAGACTGCAGCGTACTACTTAAATAAAAGAACCATTTTCAGATCTGATAGAGTTCTGTTCTTAGACATCACATCGATTCTCAAGCTCATCATTCCACAGACTGCAAGGCTTGGGATTGCCAGGCTAGGAAATTATTTCAAAGGTTTACGCCATTTCTGCTGCAGCAGAAGGTACAGCCAACCTGTTGAAAGTCTGTGTGTACAACAGCCTCATCCATTTCCTGACACTGTGGGCGCTCTGCACCAGGTAGCATCCCAATCTCTCGCTCATACTAGAGAGTTTTTTAATAGTGTCTGAAGGGCTGAAAAGCTTATGCTTAATTCATCACCCTCAAGAGGTTGCAATTTTCATGCAATAGCCTATGGTGTTTAGGTCAGAACTTGGATTCAGTTATCTGATCTTAACCTTAATACCTGACTGTGAACCTATAAAATATTTTTATATTATTAAAATTTTATTTTAATACTTCTGTGAAGCATCTAGGTATGATCCCGTTCTACAGACAGGTGAGCAAAGGTACAACACAGTTGGACTACTCTAAGCAAATCAATCTAAATGTCTAGTTCGCAAGTCCCAGTTCCTACATCCCAACAACCATATCACATATCCCACTCCCAAAATTAAGTTAATTCCTGATATTAATTTTCTCAGAGGATGGATGAACGGCTCCTTCCAGCTCACTTTACTGCATCCCTGGAGCTGACATATTTCTTGGAACACTATGAAACTTGATTCAAACGTATCCTGAGAGAGCCTTGTAGTCAAAAAGTAAACTTGTGAGGATTGCTCAAATGCTTTCTTTTAATAAGCAAATTAATTTTTATTCCCACTTGAATTTAAAAGCACAAATGGGATGGAAACAAAATTCTGCACATACTGGCTCATGCATCAACAGCCTATAGCTGTGTATCTGCACCTCATTGCCAGAATTTCAAACGTTTTTCTTTAAAATATAATTTATTTAATAATTTGAATAAATATAAAGAGGAAGACAACTAAGTTTTCCAGGTTGTAGGGCTGAACAGTCCTTTTTGTGACAAATATAAAAGTAACACAGATTCACAAAAAGGAAATTAAACATCATTCCATACATGCATAAGGAGCAGCCCACATGCATGGACCTTCACATAACACCTCAGCACATCTGCATAGCCCAGAACTCTGTATGAAGACAAAAAAACCTAAATCTTATTTCTTTGGCATTCCACTAAGAACTAGTCATAGAGTTTCTAACCCACCGAAGGTGAAAAGAATTACCTTTGGCAAACGTGGCTCTGGTGTTAGTAACCACATAGATGTATTCAAAGATCTGCTATTAGGATAAGCTCTTGAGCTAGATGTAGGCCTTAAAATTTTATCCAAGCTCCACCTTTTAATATCCATTGTGACCTAAAATTGGAAAGAAAACCCAAAACAACCTTCCAGACTATCACTTTCATAATAAAACAACAAAATCCCATTTATATTTCAGATGTAGATTAAACAAGTTTCAAATTCCTTCTAGCAATTCAATGTTGAGGGGTCTTTCCAGTAGACTAGCTTGCCACCCAAGTATACAATTTGTAACATACGTAGAACTATATATTTATATCATCAAGCCAGCCAAAGTAGTCAAACATGTTTACTGTTAAAGAAATTTCATGTGGCTCTTTTTATTTTTTTAAAAAGATGGTACTGGCAGAGTTAGCATCAACAAAAGACTAAGGGTATTTTATAGACATCTTCACTACATCAAAGAAAGCAGCAAAAAGCTTATTATATTCAGTAGTTCTGAATATAGGTATATAAACAGGGGAGGAGTTCCCAAATCCAAACGATCACATTCCCAGTCCCAACTCAATTTTGAGTTTAAACAACAGAAAATCATGGTTCTCTGCAAAAACTGTGTGAATTCACAGGAATTAAGACACCTGAGCAAGTAACACGCGCTGGTCACTGTCAGAAGGCCCAAGTGAATACAACTGTTTTCTCCAGCACAGGAAACAGGACAGGCCGAGCGGGTACCGCAGCCGGCCCCAAAACCCACCCGCGCACCCTCGGCCGAGCTCTGGCCGTCCCCAAACAAAAAATAACCTCACAGGAGGCTTCGACAGACAGAGACAGACAGAAGCAGCCCTTTCCCGTGCTCGTAAGGGGAGCCGC